GTTTGAGCCGCCATGTTTCCTGCCAGGTAAATGACGCTCCGCAACGTGGTGATGTCATTCAGGGCGACTGGCAAAAATGGCAAACAATTCCAAGGAATTGAACCGGTGGGAACCGGTTCTCAACAAGAACCGGTTTTCGATACCCATCCCTAGTTAGGATCACCCGTGCCAAATCCAAAATGTTTCCAAAGAGTGTATGATCTGCTTTCAGGGCTGAGTTCTGGAAGGCATCTGACTTTTCTTGCATTTATATTTTATTGTGGTGTTGCTCGTCCAGAGTAGTACAGTCAACTTTAACCTCTGCAGTGCAGGGAACGGCTGTGATTGGCTCATGTAGGCACGTATTTAAGCGGTGGTTTAGGGTATGTTTAATTTGCTTTTGGTTGGATTGATGGAGCATGCATATTCAGTTTTGCACAATCATTAATTGTGCAGCCCTACTTTACTAAAACAATAGTAAGTAAAACTTCTGGTTTCCTCTGCAGGGTTCAATATGCTGGAGATTTGAAGCTGCCAAAAGAATTTGATGCTAGACAGCAGTGGCCTAACTGTCCCACTCTGAAAGAGATCAGAGACCAGGGCTCCTGTGGATCCTGCTGGGTGAGAAGCTGCTCAATGTCACCACATGTAGCTAGACTCTTCAAGGGCTCTGTAATCTGAAATTGCATAAGAAACTTAAAACAAAACAACAAAAAAAAACCTCATTAAGGAAGAGAATGGAGCTCAGCTCTTCCGACAAGAATGAAACGTTTGCTTTTCAAATTTTGCGATGATCTGTTTCCCTGCTTCATGTCTTTGTTGTTGTGGTTCCAGGCGTTTGGTGCTGCAGAGGCCATCTCTGATCGTGTATGCATTCACAGCAATGGGAAGGTCAATGTGGAGATCTCCTCAGAGGATCTGCTGACCTGCTGTGACAGCTGTGGCATGGGGTGAGCAGTTCTTACCCATCAGATAACTGAAATCACTAAAATATTAAAGATCAAGATATTAAGATTATAATTATTTACCAGGATCACTGAACTTTGATAATAAATTTATATAATGAACCAAACTATGACATAAAAACCTTAATCTGGGGAAAAGAGCAGCAGATATAGATGATACAATTGGTGCTAAGAGAGGGAAAGAAAGTTTGGCGCTTTCCTTAAATAAGTTCATTTTTAGTAAGTAATGTTTTGTTTTTCTGTGTGTGTGTTTTTTAGATGTAATGGTGGCTACCCTTCAGCTGCCTGGGACTTCTGGGCAAGTGAAGGGCTGGTCTCTGGGGGTCTCTATGATTCCCACATTGGTGAGTGTGTTTCTGATAGATTGATGCAGTTATGCGCATGTTGGGTGTGATTACAGTAGAGACACTATATCCTTGTGTCTGCAGGCTGCAGGCCCTACACCATCGCCCCCTGTGAGCACCATGTGAATGGCAGCAGACCTCCCTGCACTGGGGAGGGTGGTGACACACCAGAGTGTGTCCGCCAGTGTGAGTCTGGATACACACCAAGCTATACACAGGACAAGCACTATGGTAAGAGCAGCAGAAAGAAATGTATATTTATCATAAATAAGGTTTGTAATATTGTCTCAGTCTGCATAATTATGAGTAGTAACTGCAACGTAACAAAACAAATTGTTATTGAATTATAACAAATGGATATTATATGAATTCTGAGGGAACTCCTTATCCTGATATTCAAATAGCTATTGTGCAGATGAACTTTGATTTTCTGATTGTTTTTTTTTTTTTTTAAATTACACATATTATAAACTTCTACATGCAATATTTTATTTTATTTTTTTTATGTTGGTGAACAAGGCTGTATGCACACATATCTTGACTCTGTGTGTTGCAGGTAAAACATCTTACAGCGTGCCATCAGACGAACAGCAGATTCAGTATGAGATCTACAAGAACGGCCCTGTAGAGGGAGCGTTTACAGTCTATGACGACTTTGTTCTGTACAAGACTGGTAAGAACACATGAACTCATCACACATGTAATGATCACCCTGCCTGCCATTTCACAAATTCACTTTTACTTTGTGGCTGAAGCATAAGCATATAGTGTGGGATTGTGTCCTCTTAACATTGATTTGAACTGAAGCTCCTCTTTGTTTAGCTCTTGCAGAGGTTTGTGTGTGAAAAGTTAACAGGCTTTCATGCTGGAAATCTCCAACTGCAGCTAGATGCAGTTTGATATTCTAGTATTTAAGGTGCCTTGAATGTGACTTAGTATGAAATAGACACTATTAGAATACACACCCAGTCTCTTCACTATATTGTACTAAAAAAACAAACTTTAGGTGAGCTCTAATGGATTTGTTCTGTCTTATCCAGGTGTTTATCAACATGTGTCTGGTTCTGCTGTCGGTGGTCACGCCATCAAGATCCTGGGCTGGGGAGAGGAAAATGGCACTCCCTACTGGCTCTGTGCCAACTCCTGGAACACTGATTGGGGTGATAATGGTGAGCAGAGGCAGTTTAATACTCTTAACACACGTAGTCATCATGCTATGCGAGGGGAGTCACTACTGAAAATACTACAGTATAATCCTGTAAAATGGAATGGGGAGTCTTATAGCTGAATCAGCATTTTGTTCAGAATCACAAGGACTTGATCTTCATTAAGACAGATGTAGTATTTTTAATTATACATTATTTATATCAGGAGCACACACTTCTATATTTCACTTTATTTTATATGTAAAACAGACTGACTTCATGACACACCAAAGCTGAAACCCTGTTCACTCTATTTTTTTTATTTATTTATTTATTTATTTATTTATTTATTTTTAAACAATAATCATTAAATGCTCTGAAAGGGGGTCTTTACGTCTTTAACTATTACAAATGTTTTCTTGACATTGTTCTAGCTCGTTTACCCAACTCTACCAGTAAATGAGAAATTCTTCTCTTACAGTAAATTATAGTAATACTCCCTCACTCAAAATGGGCAAATGGTGCTGTTTATAGATGTTCACGTGTTTTCTTCAGTTTAGCAAATTCAGGTAAATTCTGTTTTCTTTTTTGATTTTTAGGATACTTTAAATTCCTGCGTGGTTCAGATCACTGTGGTATTGAATCTGAGATTGTGGCAGGGATTCCCAAATAAAAACTAAGGTAAGATGGTAAACAGATGGATTTTATGTGTGAGATTTTTTTTATATATATATATATATATATATATATATATATATATATATATATATATATATATATATATATATATATATTATATATATATATATATATATATATATATATATATATATATACATATATATGTATATATATATACATATATATATATATGTATATATATATACATATACATATATATATATATATATACTATATATATATTTATTTTATTATTATTTTTAAGTATGGATTTAAAAGATTATTCATAATGTACTTCTGACTTTTTCTTACATGCATAATTCAGAAATGGATTCAGATTTTCTTCTGCTGTCAGTTACATGTAGACCCACATTAACTCGATGCAAGTCCAGCAGGCTGGTGTGCCAACTTTAAGAGTCATCCTTGCTTTAATTTCCCATTTTTCTCCTTTTGTACCTGCAGGTTTTCAGCTGTAGCATCATTACACTATCACTAGAGGGCGATACACTCCACTGACCAGAAGACACAGCTGACAAAATTAACTGCTTTTAGTCCTTTTTAGCTAAAGCGCGCTGATCACTTTGCACACCGGCTTTAAAAACTAAAGCGAGGTGAATTTGCAGATGGGATGTGACAAAAATGTGATGAACCTGAGGAGAAAGTGCTGGAGTTGATGTTTTCACCTCTTAGACAGACAGGAGAAATTTTATTTTAGACAGGCATTAGCATTTGTTTGCTTCAAAACAGGCTATTACTGTTGTAGAAGTGATTAAATTTATTTTGACAGCATGGATTGTTTTAGAACAGCGCAATGTCATTTTGACGAATGTGTCTAATTTGTAATGATCACAGCTTTTATATTGAATTTATAATTTCTCAGTGCTACTCCATAATGTCAGGATGGACTGTCACAGGTGCCAGTTAGTGTTTTTAAACTTGGTTGGAAATTAAATGCAGTGTTGGCTGCCTGTTATAACTATAATATTGGCGCATAACTGTTATGTTTTGAAATAAAAGTAAAAAAAAAATACATCCTAGTATATAATCCAAAGTGTGTGTGTGTGTGTTGTGTGGTTTGTGTGTGTGTGTGTGTGTGTGTGTGGTGTGTGTGTGTGTGTGTGTGTGTGTGTGTGTGTGTGTGTGTGTGTGTGTGTGTGTGTGTGTGTGTGTGTGTGTCTGGATTCAGTGTCACTAACCAACTTTACCAAAAGAATATGGATTCATTTCAATGTTTCCTTATGTGTATACATAAAACTACATTTAGCCTTCATTTTCAGTCCATTACTTTCCCCAACTTGGATCATTTTCTGAGGAAAAAACAACAACACTAGTACCAATTTGCAATCCCGTGGACATCCATATGAAACAAATATTGCATATATAAGTAAACAGTATTAACATTTGTGGACCTGAATATTTATTTGTAATGATCTACAAACACAAATGATATATTTATCTATTCAACTCTGATATCATATGCAACTCTGCTATTCAAATTTTAACAATGGCACCATATAACTTTTTATAAAATAGTTAGAAAAGTATAATTTTGATTACTTATTAATTTTCTTGTCTCCATAACAGAAAATTATAAAATAAGGGATCCATTATCCAATTCATGAAGCTTTTTAATAGATTTGGAAAAAAACATATTTAGGATCGTTTTCGCCGCAATAATTGTGTAGTGAACTTTTAATCAAAGGCTAAACTGTTAAACTGAAAAAAGACAAACGAGCCACTTCCGCCTTGTCAGCAAAAACAAACCCGTCCACGTCCCTCCCCTCATTAGTTTTCCACGTAAGCGTTTCCCGTTCCCTAACTAAACAGCACCTCTTAAAACAGAATTTGAAGCGACGGTTTTGTTTGTTTTTTTGTTTTTTTTGGGGGGGGGGGGGGGGGTATTTGTAAAAGAGGCAAGAATGCAGTTGAAGTGATTTTTCTTAGTATCGCAGAAACTCCACTGTTCGGTATCCGCCCCATTAAGGTACATCCGGGACACTCGGGCGACCAAAACAGACAACCTAGAGCACAGCTTTTCAGCGGCAGCGCAGGGGGAGAGAGCGCTTGTACACAGAGCAAGAGAGCGAGCGATGGAGGCGGGAGGCAGGGTACCGTGGGTGAAATATGGGTCTGTCGTGTCCTTATTTGTGGTTGTGTTGGCCCTCTGGTTCCGGTCACCCCAGAATGCAGTGCTGGACGACCGACTGGACACAGTCCTTTCCTCCCTGCTCCGGGCTGAGCAGAAAGTGGGGATGAATAACGTCGCCAGACCCAGAGTAGCGATTGGTAAGCGTTACGAGCTAGCTAACGGCCTAACCATAGACTGTATGAGTGCAACCTAATTTCAGGGGTTTGTGGATTAATGATCGATCAGGTAAACTGCGCCAGAATAACAGTAACATTAGTCACTGCCCGCATTCACTAACAGAAAATAAGTTGTTAACGCAGTGGATAATATTAGCCTCATATTTAATGTCAAACTTTAGTAAACTGAGAAAAGTACATTTAGGGGTTTCTTATGGAAATAAATAAGGTTGTGTGTTGAAGCCTGAATAGATGGTGCGGAGGGGCAATAACCATGAAAGGTGGTCACCAGATAAGATGATTAGTTCCAGCTTAGAAATAAAGTCTCAATGAGTGTGCTCCGGGTTACAGGTTTGGCATATAAAGGAAAATATATTTAATTAAAATACAACTTTTCCACTTTCTTTTAAACAGAATATCAGTTTTTTTGTGTGTGTTTTAGCTGTTTTCCTGTTTGGTAATTATCTTCCAGTAAGGATGCATCCAATGATTTCAACAATGACTTGAGCCAATTATGGCATTCACTTCAGTAATGTGTAAGGTGGGGCAGTATCTGCAGTTATCAGTAATATATACACTACTTAACTAGCAAAGGAAGCTTAATATTTTTTGGAGCTTAGGGGTTTTTTTCTGGATGAAAACAGATGGTTTGGGGAGATTATGAATATAATGACAACTTCTCTGCATGACATTAAGGAAGAGTGTTTGTGTTATCTTAAATAACAGATGTCTGTCCACTTTCCTCTTATTTTTGGCCTTTTTATAATAAAGATATATTAGAGTATTTATTTATTTATTTATGCTTGAGTAAACAAACCCCACTTAGAAATAAATAGTTAAGATGTTTTGAACAGTCTTGTGAGTTTACCTGCCAGAAGTTTATAAGCAGCAAAACCCTTGGTTGTACTTTGAACTTCTTAAAAACAACTGTGCAGGCTCATGTGATGTAAGCTCTGGTATTCTTATAGTAATCCAGTGTTTTGTCTCGTGAGCAAGTCCTAAAACCTTGTGCTTTGGACCATCGCACAGACACTCAATAAGAATCAACTTGTCTGTCCAGCCTTTACCCAATAGGTTACCAATAAGCTCAGCAACAGTACAACCTGATGTAAATGCGATTATAAGAAATTTCTGCCAAAAGATCAGAATCAGCCTTGTTGTTGCCTTGTTGTTGTTTTTGTTGCTGTTGTTGACTAGTTGCATGTGTTTGTGTGTCACATCAAATTAGAACAAACTATAAGTAAAAGCTTGTTTTCATGGTGCCAAAAGGGTTCATAAATAACCAGAAAAATAAACAACAACATACTGGCAACATGTGCTGGAGTCTGTTATTTTGAGCACTCGTATCAGAGCAGAGTTGGCCATGAGGGATGGATTAACGCTTATTGCTATTAGTTGCAGCATTGAACAGTACAACATAAATAATGGCTTACTGACACTTAACCTGAGCCCTGACCCAGAAACAGGTTTGACAAATGCTAACTCTAAATTCTGTCTTAATTAACTCTTTGAGTTTTCAGCTCCAGAAATAGACGAAACTTCAACCAGTCCACTCAGTCATCAGTTACCCACTCTTGATTTTTCATAGACAGATAAATAGTTAAAAATGTGACCAAATATGACATTTTACATTTCTTAAATATAATTATTCAGCTGTAAACTGACTTTTGGATTTCCACAGCACAAGGAAGACAGATTTTTGTTGATTTAGTGGTGCAAATCCTTTTCGGATATTGCAGCTTTTCAAAATGTTGCTCAACATCCAGTCTTTAGCCTGTTTTTAAAAGCTCACTTTAAACTGCATTTAGTCCCATTTAAGAATCTTAAGTGGCGCAGACAACAACAGTAGCATCATTTATTCCAGCATGAGAAATTATTGATCTTTGATCTTTTTTTGGCTTTTTTTCTTTCTTTCTTTTTGCCTAAAGTGCAATAAAAGTTAGTTTTATTGTAACAGGGATTACAAAATGTGCAGTGCAAGTTAACTAACAATTGGGCAACTTCTTTATTTTATTCTGAGCTAATCCACAGTGCCCATTGATGTCCACTGTTATCCTTACATTCATGATTGATTTAATAAGAAGATTAACCAGCATTTAACTGTTTGTAAAGATGTAAACAGCTTTGACATTGACTGTAATAATGGGGGAAATGAAATGGTGTCATAGAGATGGTGCAGGTGCAGCATGAGGGAACATTCAGAGAGAAGCTCTGTTCAATAAAATATATAGGGGAACAGGTTAGGTTAAGTTGGCTCTGTTTCAGGAACAGTAAACTCACTCATCTCCTCTCAGGGTTAACAAACTCAGAGTTTCCACTAAACCTGCTTTCTGTGACAGGGTCCTGAAGGACTATAAAATGCACCATATTCATATTAACCTTATGACATCAAATCTAACTGTATCCCAAAAGGTTATTTTATATTTGTTATATGAAGCTACAGCAGGAAAAAAAGATAGGGTTGCAAATTCAGACAAAGGAGCATGAGTAAAGTTTACGCCAGCGTCATGCAAAATTTATTCAAATCTTAAACAAGTTGCCTGCCTGCCTGAAGCGTTGGCCCCTGTTCAGACATGACCGGCATCTGTGAAGCTCAGAGCTTCTATATCTGCTGATGGGACATATGATCGATCCAGCAGCTGAAACTCTGACAGTGTGTCACTATTTCAGCTGTGATTGGAGATAAATGCAGCCGTACTGGGCACAGCAGCTGCAGATTGTGTGGATTTCTCACTATTTAGTATGTTTTATTTTCTAAAATGCCCTGGAGCACAAAATTGTATATATGTAGCACATTTTGTTTCAGGCGGAAAAACACACGTACTTCATACGGCATTATACTATCACAGAAATCGTAGCATGGCATCATGTTTATAACATAAAACTTCATCAATACAAAAAAACAGCAATGATATAGTAAAAAGGAAAATTATTATTGTTATTATAAACAGTGATAGAAAAAAACACTGGTTATAACCTGTAAAAGGAAGAGAAATGACACTGTCAAGTGTAGTCCAGTAACAATAGAAAAGGCCTAAAATTTAAAAATGAATTCAACCTGCAACTAAACTCGAGGGCTAAGCAGGAATGTTGTCTAGTTTGCTTTTAAATGCTGATGAAGTTGGGGCACACCTTACATGATTTGTGAGGTTATTTTAGTGGCTTTGGAGCACAAAGGTAAAAGCAGTGTGACTAGTCATACCAGTGTTCTCCCTGTCCTGATTTCCAAATGAATATTGCCTCTTTGAGTTTCTTTCTCTCTTTTTCATTCACAGGTTTTGGAGGTTGTGTTGACCTGATAGTAGACAGTGTGTCACTGCTTAATAAAACAGGCATCCAGCCCACAGACCAGCCCCTGCATCATGACTACCTAGAAAATGTGGAGCAGCTGGCTCAGAGCTTTGCATATTTCTTTGCACCAGGAGCAGCTGCAGAGTAAGTGATGTCTGTTTTTTTCATTTTTGCTGCTGTTTATGTTTGAAAAGGCTTTTTAAGTCTTGAGAATACAGTTGAATTAATCTCCCTGATCTGCTCAGTCATTGCTGACTGCTCGTGTTCTGGCGCCTGTGAGCTCTTGTTCATTGTCTGGAATAAAACACCCTAAGGGCAACAAGACTACAGAATCAGCAGGAACCCACATAGAAAAAGAATGCGCGCTAACATGAATTAAGACTTTTCTGTTAGAGACAGAAACTGTCTTTTTTAACATTTAAACTTATTTCTCTGGTCCTTATACTGCCCGTTTTGGGGATTGTACGTTCTTAATGGCAGCCAAATGACTAAATGTATTTAGACTTTGTGTAAATACCATGCAGAGTAATTCTGAAGCATCTAATCTAAATGAATAAATGTCTAATAATATGTTCAAAGAACAAGAGAAAATTGTTTTTTATCTGGATAAAGATGCTTATTTTGAAAGGGTGCTTTGTTATTACGGCTGTTTGTTCTACCTATCATTGGAGATGTGCATTTAAAAAATGTTTTAACAAGTATTTATATTTGTGACTTCAGGCTATAAGAAAGCTGCTGTGTGAGCGTTAACTCAGCAGTCCCCAACCCCCGGGCCAGGGACTGGTACCGGGCCGCGAGAGTTGAGACTCGGGTGTGAAATGTATGGTTTTCAGGGTTTTTATCGGTTTTTAGCGTTATTTTGTTATCGTTTTTTTCGTTAACTCGGTTTTCTTGGGTCTTTTCACGTGTGTTATGAATCAATCTTTTTTTTCAGTATCGGTACTAGTTTTATTTTGTTGTATTTATCCGCGACACCTTAAAGGCCGGTCCATGAAAATATTGTCGGGCACAAACCGGTCCGTGGCGCAAATAGGTTGGGGACCGCTGCGTTAACTGATAAGCAAGAATGAGATGCAATTATCTGGCAACCAAGCCGAGTCCTCATGCTGTTTCATTCTGATATCCAGCATTCTGGCATCCTGAGGGTGATCATATTGTATGTTTAGTGAGAGTCCTACTGCACTTTTCTTTATGATCACCCCACTTTTAATGCTCAAAAGGATGGATATAGAAGTAATATATTTCAGCCTTCGTCTCCCACTGCAGTGCAGCAGTGGGAGTACTGGGAGTCTAGGTGTTTAGGAAGAGAGAGGTGGCATAGGAGGTGGAAAGGATGTGCACTGTTTCAGGATTGTGGAGGATACAGATAGAAATGTACTAATGACTGAAGAGAGTGTGTTGAAGACTGAAAGAGGTACTTTAAGGAGCAGAGAGAGAGAAGACAGCAAGAGTGTGTGGGGAATTGCAAAGGATTAGTAAGGAGGAAGTGAGCGCACCTTTGAAGAGGATGAAGAGAGGAAAGGCGGTTGGTCCAGATAAAACACTTGTGGAGGTATGGAGATGTTGAGTAGAGATGGCAGTGGAACGATACCAACTTTCAAGAACTTGGGCGATGTGTAAAGCTGTAGCACCTACAGAGGGATAAAGCTGGTGAGCCATACGATGAAGCTATGAGAAAGAGTTCTTGAAAGTGGGTTAAGATGGTGATGATCAGACAGCAGCAGTATCGTCTCATATTGACAGAGAGCACTGAAGATGTGATGTTTGAGAGTGTTGATGGAAAAGTATAGAGAAGGTCAGAATGGGTTTCTCTATGACTTTTGGGATGCCAAGAGACTTATGTGAGGATAAATAGGCTGGTTCTTATATAGAGCTTTGCTAGCGCTGGAACAATCGAAGCACACTCATAAACACATTCATACTCCGATGAAATCATCGTAAATGGTAAATGGCCTGTATTTGTATAGCACTTTACTAGTCCCTAAGGACCCCAAGGCGCTTTACACATCCAGTCATCCACCCATTCACACACACATTCACACACTAGAGCACTAGATCGTAGAGCAACTTGGGGTTCAGTCTCTTAACCCAGGGTGGTGTAGGACATATCAATATGCAGGAAAGAAGTTAAGCGATCATATTAGTGGCAGATGCTGTTGTTTTGTTTTTTTCATTTTGTGGAAAGTTAATTAAAAATGTAATTTAAGCACCATAAATCACAGTAATGTCAGTTTTCACTTTCACAGTTTAAACCAAAGTTTTTTTTTCTTCTCCCACAGGCGTTTTATGCTAAATGAAACCCTCTTTAGCGAGCTGGTCGAGGGGGCCCGCGACTTACCTGGAAACAGATGGTCAGTAGGCGGCAATGCTCCAGTAATGGCTAGTCGCATGGCAACCGAGGGATGTGATGTGTTGCTAGGGGGAACTTTCAGCACCGATTTTACTGATGTCCTGTCGCAGCACATTACAGGTACTCGAAATAAGACAAAGTGATGCATCCATTTTACTTTGAATGAAATTTCCGTTTTGTAATTTTTATGTACTTTGTGATATTCCTTTTATCTCCTCAGTGGCAGGTAAAGTGATAGATGAGCCAGACATTCATCTGATTCTGGAGTATCCAACTGGTGCCCGCTGGGGGCGCTATACCTCACGTAGAGCCAATAGGTAGGTGTCATACAGATGCATCAGAAGCGTGGAGTGCGTGTGTACACGGTGCTCTGAGGTGATAGTTGTTCACTTTGTTTGTGTGTTTGTGTTCTGTAGATACATCATTCACAGCGATGCCAATAACCCCTACCTGTCCTCTATGGAGGAGTTTGCTCAGAAACTTATAGACTTCAAACCTGACCTACTGGTGGTGGGAGGGCTCCAAATGATGGACAACTTCCCTTTCCGGTCAGGTAAGAAAGGTGTTCCCTTCTTTCTGATGCACAGTTGGGCTCGCTGACGTTGAACGTATTATCCTGGCTTAACAAAAGCAGTTTGAGGTTAGCGTTACTCTCTCATATCACCTGGAGATTAAAATTCTACTAATTGTAGTTATCAAAAGAAAAGAGGTTTCACCTTAAATATGAACTCTGGACAAAGTTGGTAGATAATTTGGGTCATTGTCTGGAGTTGAGATTGTCAACTCTCACTACTGGAAATGCTCAAATTTGTTTACACGAGGGTGGTGTCTGAGTAGAGCGTGCTAGAGGCAGGACACGAAATGTCCCAGCTGTGTATCACTGTTACCTGGAGCTGTTCTCACAGTGACGCAAATTGTTGAGGGTTTGTAATCAGGAGATCGTGGATATATGATCCCATGCACCTTTATCAGGTAGTGTCTATGAAAGCTCAGGGCTTTAAGCATAGTTAAGCATACTGACCAGTGACACTTGAAGTTGGCTGGATTTTGGCCACATTTGGTGATAGCTGTACAGTGGGGCAAAAAAGTATTTAGTCAGCCACCGATTGTGCAAGTTCCCCCACCTAAAATGATGACAGAGGTCAGTAATTTGCACCAGAGGTACACTTCAACTGTGAGAGACAGAATGTGTTTTTGTTATTGACCAAATACTTATTTTCCACCCTGATTTACGAATAAATTCTTTACAAATCCTACCATGTGGATTCATGGATTTTTTTTTCACATTCTGTCTCTCACAGTTGAAGTGTACCTCTGGTGCAAATTACTGACCTCTGTCATCATTTTAGGTGGGGGAACTTGCACAATCGGTGGCTGACTAAATACTTTTTTGCCTCACTGTATGTAAGAACTGATGTCAAAAGAAGAACAAAACACAGAGGTAGTATCATAGGCTGATAACCAGCTTCCCCCTCTGAGCCAGGCTGTTTGCACAGCAGATCAGCTGTGTGTTATTTGATCTGACAGTATCTTTGTCTTCTGGTCTGCTGTTTTCCCCCATGTCTCTGCTGTTTTTCCACTCTTTCATTACCCTTTTGTCTTTCCTGTTGAGTTGCTCCTTCCTTTAACATCACTGTACCCTTTCGCTTCTCTTTGTTTTTGTTTTTTTTTGTTTGTTTGTTTTGTTTTGTTTTTGACACCCTGCGATCTGCCTGACAGCGTCTACAACTCTTCTTTAATCTTCCACCTATTTTGGATCATTTCAGGTGAGAGAGAAGCCCTCCTCTCCCGTCTGGGACACCTGCTTTCCTCCTCATCCCCTCAAATTGGAATTCATTTTGAAATGGCAAGTTTTGTGGAAGAGAGCATCATGGAAGACCTGCTCCACTACGTCATTCCCCATGTATGTTTGACTGATCAATGAGCAAAATGATATCACCAACACTGAAGAAGTAAAATGTTTATATACAGAAACGGAATGAGTCAGCTTTGTGAAAATAGATGGATGCCAGGAAGATTTGCTTAGTTAAACTCAAAGCAAAGCAGGCTGACTCAGTGGGCGCTGTATTTGCTTTCCACTTTTGCATAATCATATTTTGAAGAAATGCGATGTTCTGCTGCTTTCAAAGGTGCAAATTTTGCCCCATAATCAAACCTCTTCAATACTGTAAACACATAATGAATATTGTTGTGGCTAGACCTCAAAGCCATGGTTTTCTTTGTGCACTCAACACAAAGGCTGTAGTTTATTCCACTCAGCATAACAAAGCAGCCAAACACACATGTGCAGACCTGATGAAAATGTAAAAGTAGTAAATAGTAAAATCGGTTTTAACGAGTTACCTTAATTCTGCTTTTCCAGGCGGACTCTTTGGGGATGAATGAGCAGGAACTTCCAAACCTGCTTAGCTCGCTCAAAGGCTCCAACATCACCGTATTGTCAGACCCAAACCCTCGTGTAGCTACTGTTCTTGACCAGATGAGGGAGGTCTATCGCATTTTGAACCAGCGCCACAAGGAAGCCAGTGCAGAAAGTCGGGCAAATGGTGCCCGAGCTACAGTCAAACCACTGACCCGACTCCATGTCCACACGCTGGCTTTTCAAGCCATGATTGTGACTCGTGGCTCCAAGTGGAAGAACACCATGTCAGCCACTGCCAAGGCTTCGCTCACAGCTAACCGCCACGTCTGTGGCTCTAATGACATTGATCCCAGCAAGGCGAGGCTCATAATGGACGACTCTTTCTCCGTTAGCCGACAGGAGGGAAGCCAGCGTATCCCTTTACAGGAGACCAGGCCTGTCAGCTGTTGGAGTGAAGAGGACTATGAGATCTGTGTAGCACCAGTGCTGGTGTGCACTGAGGTTTATCAGACTGCAGGTGGAGGGGACAACGTCTCAGCCGCTGGCCTGGTTCTGCAAATCTAGAGAAGGACAGACACCAAGTGGTCTGTCTGTGTGTATGTTTGTGTGTGTGTGTCGTGCTGATCAGATGTTAGTGAACCGCGTGATTCTGGAAACTTGATCTAGGTGTGATGCACACTAGCCTTCAGAAACTGACGCAGGTATCAGGCTGATGAGTCGTCCTTTGTGTCTCACAGCCTGAGGTGCACATTAAGGAAAATTGTTATCCTTCATAGTCGGAGTCAGATGATGGAGAACAGTGGTTATCTTTCAGGTTAGGCCTTCAAATGTTTGATTTTTGAAAACGATACAAAGAAAAGGCAATCAAAAATTATACCTAAGTAATTAAGTGAAATATCTGCTAACTAGACTTATTGTAGTTTATCAGTTAGGTTAAACCATCACTGATTTAATCTCTCCTTGTCTTTTTCTGCGTGTGAAACCCATGCACATCACCTCAATTGGATTTCTTTTTTTCTTCTTTTTTTTCTTCTTTTTTTTTTTAAACAAAATCAGTCCTGCTGTTTCTTACTTGGATTTCCATGTCAACTCATCCATCATCTGACTCCGTTGATTTTAAATCAGCTGCCCTCTATTTATCCAATGCCTTACAAGAAGATGTTCAGTCAATATGAGATAAAGAGGAACGAGGTATGGATAAAGTCAGATGCCAAACTGTAGGTTGTGGAGGGTTTTAAGTTTCTTTTTAAATAGTACAGCATTTTTAGTAGCCTTTTTAATTGTTTTGCACAACTTCTGCTGAAGGATAAAATCCTCCTTAAGTCATGTAAATGCAGGGCTTCACTATGCAGAAAACGGATTCAGAAGAATCAGAAGTAGGTGGATCTTGTCAACCACTTGAACTCTACAACTCAGACCAGTGAACAAGCTTTAGACTTCACCTGCCTTTGTGCAACACACATTTTCAGATGAACTTGAACCTACCTATGACTGAAAATATCTGAAGCATTTTAATGAAAAATTACGAAGTTTTTTGAAACTAGGACCAAATCTGCGGTCCTTTGGTGTAGTAGGGATAACATATATATATTGACCGCTAAATAGCTGTAAAGTAATCCCAGGTGCAGGTTTAAAGACACCAAAATGTTCTTTTAATGACAGGCTATCCTTCCTCTTCCCCCTACTATTGCATTAAAAAGGCAAAGAAAGGCCCTGTTCCTCCCTGTGTATGTGAAAAGTGTGCTTAGTGGTTTGGGTGTGTTTGTGTGTGGATTGTCATTCCTCTGTGGTTTCGTTGCAGTGCAATAATGCAAAATCAATGTTAAGAGACCACTTTTGGTAGCTGCACATGATGTCAAACATCTTCCTCTCTACCTCCATGCTCTGATTTTCCTTTCCTTTTTCCATCTCCTGTCGCTCTTCTGTTAGTTTGTCATACCTGTTTTACATCCTCTTTCTAAGTATTTTTTGTTCTTCTGTTTTTTATGGCTCTTTAAAGACCAAATAACCAGTGTGGACTATCCTAGCCAATGTTGTTGCAACAGTGAAGTTCCCGACATGTGTGTCACGTGATATGACTGAATATAGTGGAACACTTGTTATTTAAAGGGGCATTAACAATCTACTTGAATCCATGCTGTTGCGCATCATGAATACCCCCAATGTCTGGAATACTGGACCACTCAAATCATATTTTCTTCATGTAGTCTTTGTGTCAGGTATTGGATTTAGAGTCAAGATATTAATTCCTGTTACTTTAAACCCCCACTGAGATGATCTTTTGGTGAAAGGGGGACCCAGCCTCTCCACAATCATCTAATTACCTTCTGGGATTGGACTCAAACCTGTATTTACTGATGCAGCTGGAGTTAACTGGGATCATAGCCAGCTATTTTTCTCTCTCTCACTCACACACACACACATATTCCTTCCACAGATCCACCTTCACTTTCACAGGTAAACTTCAACATGCAAGTGGACTTTTTGTCATTCTTGATTAATCTATTTGTTCGTTTATCAATTTTACCAAACATGCTTTTTTTTTTTTTTAAGAGGAACACATTTATTTTGTTACAGAGTGTGAAAAAGGGAAATGTAGAGAACAGGATATCCCTTTAAATCTTTTCTCTGTATCACGGCTGTACTGATTTAATGGTGTTTTGTTATTGATTGATTGACCAAAAGATAATGAGCCTTATTCTGTTTTTACATTTGGGGTTTAGCGAAAAGGGAACCTTTAATACAGACTTTTTCTATCACTATAGGCTGATCTTTCCTTATGTCTTAAAGAGTAACGGGTTGTGTTTTTACTGTGAATGGAAACCATAGCATGTGTTCATGCTCACATAGTGAAGTGGTTGTTTTCACCACCGCATTGCTTATCTAACCTCTAGATAAGTCGTGTCATCCATGTTTCAATGTTGTGTTTAACTATTTCATGCATGTTTGACTATTTGATGCAGAATCGCCTGATAAAATGCTGATTAAGCAATCATTGATTTGTTGTTTTTCTTATTTTTAGGGGTCATTTATTGAAAATGTTCACAATCATTTTGGCTGCAAACTACATTTTAGACAAGAAAATAATCTACTTCTTTCTGCTGAATTCAGAAGTTATTTTAGACACTAGTTAACAAATACTGTTGGATGTAACATCACAGCTTCTTTGTCACAACATAATTCACTGCGATGAAGGTTGTTTCCTCTCTTCTCACATTTAACACATTTCATTTCATTTGGTATTTAAACATTATGCTTTCATATTTTGTCCACTGGCTGCACCAACAGGCTCACATTTAAACAACAGGCAAGTTTAGCATGGATCCCGCCTGGTACCAAATGTTTGCTGGTGGTGCAATGATGTGGAGGATATTTTCTTGGTCCTAACTGAGCATCATTTAAACTCCACAGAAAACCTTTATGACTACAGCGTACCTGTCTTCTGATGGCTGTTTCAGCAGGATAACGTATGTCACAAAGCTCAAATCATTTCAGTTCTCTAATTTCTTGAACATGACCACAAGTTCACTGTACTCAAATAGCTTCCCCAGTCACCAGATCTCAGTCCAACAGAGAACCTTTGGCATGTGGTGAAACAGAAGAGTCACATCATGGACGTGCTGCCAACAAATCTGCAGCAACTGTGTTATGCTATCATATCAATATGCCCAAATCTCTGAGGAATGTTTCTAGTGATTTAATGAATCTATGCCACAAACAATTAAGGCAGTTCTGAAAGCAAAACAAAGTCCAACCCAATAACTACAAGGTTTCTGTCTATGAACAAATGATTAAAAATGAATGTTGTCCATGCAAAAGAAGTGTTGCATACTTGCAGTCCACTGCAGAGATGGTGAGGAGCCTGTGCTATTTTTATAACCCAGCATGTTCCCTCACCCTCTATTTTGGGCGCACGTTCTGAAAGCAGCAAGCCTTCAGCTTTCTTAAATACAGCTTCTTCAGCTGTAGCTCATTTCTGTAACTCCAGATTACCTCAGAACAACATTTGAACAGCACCAGTGGTACCATGATTTCTTTTATGTCTGCACAGAAACCCAACATAAGCCATTTTAGTGATTGTTTTTTTTTACATTCACAGAGACTGGAGTGCATCACACCAGTAATTTCATACTGTACTGGACTTTCCTTTAATGTCAAACTGGAGAAACCTTTTAACATTTCTTAAATAAGGAACGAGGGCTTGAGCATTCAAACTCTTATGGTATTCTTATCTGAATCCAGTTGAAGTATGCACATTTAATTTCTTTATCACAACAGACATAAAGATTATATTGTATAACAGTTTTGGTGACATACAGACTGCCTACATACATTTCATTTGGCATTTGTACATTATGCTTTCATACTTGGCTGCACCAACAGGCTGATTAAGCAACCTTTGTTTCGCTGCCTACATTTTACGCTCTAGAGTCAGATGTGGGATAACATCTTTATAATAGATATGTTTCTTCTCTTCGTCAGTGAACGCTGTCAGCATCTCATCCATCTCCTCCTGAGTGAACGGCTCACCTGATATGATATGGAGAAAAATCAAGTCACAAACGTGCTGATCTACCTGAGAAAAACAGATGTTTGTTCCAATCTACACACAAACACCAAGCAATCTGAACACATAAAATTATTTTACAATTGTGTACATCAAAACTGGTATAAATAATTCAACTTAACAAATTCAAACAATCCGTGCATATCAAGTGAGGCTCTGCCTCTCATTCTACTATTAACATTATCACTTCAATAATTATCACATTTGTAAAGCTGATTTTTCGCTTGCAGATCACATCATTTCTCAATAAGAAATCTCTATTGCTGTTGTCACTGTGTCATTGTAATCTACTTCTAATTGCACACAAAAACAAAACCCTCAGTTTTACCTTCCTTTGTCATGTAATTTGTCAGCTCCTCAGGCTCAAGGTATCCCCTCTTTTCTTTGTCTAGAACCTGCAAACAGAGTGTAAGTGCCTTTGTGTTTTAGCAAATATCACATGCCTATACTGCCAGACTAGCGTCCCTATGCAAAAAGTGGACAATATGAGGAACAAGGAAACAGCAGGAAATTTCACCTCAAAGGCCTGAAGCAGAAGCTCATCAGAGATGGGAGGGAACCTAACAGACAATAACACAGCAGTAATGAAATGATGACAAGCCAAATACTGCAAACAGTGAGTTTAATGTCCAAATCATTACATCAGTGATGTAGCACTGGCTGTTCTTTGCTTTTTTGTTTAAGAGTTTAAGGCTAACACTGGTCTGAATCTAAACTTCAGCAGCTTCAGGCACAGAAAAGCTCACGTGTAAAAGCAAGAGATATAAATTATTTAAACAAGGCTGACATGTAGTATTTCCTGAGTGGTGAACAAACCTGACCTGAAACACCAGTGATCAAAAATAGAGTACTGAGGTTTACACAATGTTTACCAGACTGATCACAAAACTCATAGTAATGAAATGCATTCATGTGTGCCTTCAGTATAAGAGAAAAATACATTGTATAATAGATAATTTGATTTAACTTAACTCCTATTTGCATCTCAGCCTTCTTCTCATACACAGAAATCAGAAATTTCTTTATACAATGATATAACTGAACTGTCTTACTTGTCCTCCAGTAGCACTTTAGTCATGGCTGGGAGGAATCTGTCCCAGTGGATATATCCTGAGCGCTCATCTTCCACCTGGTTGCACAGGAATAGGCTGTTGGGGTTTGCTTTGAATTTTCTAACAAAAACAATGCTTCTAATCTTACCCAGGATTTTATAACAGTCACATAATGGCACAGGAGATTCTGTAACATTACTGAAATGCACAATGTCAGAACCCTGTTTGCACACCCCATTACTGATCTTCCAAAATAGAACCAGACTACAGGAGGATGCTGTACTGACCTCAGATGTGAACTTCTGTAGGTCTGCCTGAGTGGGAAAGAAACCTAGTGAATAGAAGATGGTGCCAATCTCCCTAGAAAACAATGACAAGAAGTGCATTAAAAGTATTTAAAAGGACAGTTTCAGTTAGTTTCACTAATTCCTGTGTGCTATGAACCATCTCACCGCAATGTCCTACTAAAGCCCACTCAGCCAGTGGAAAGCCTTGAGACAAACCACAAACTTTATTTCTCACAGCCAGTGTCCAAATAACCCACGTCAACCAAACAATTTACCAGTGGAAACAGCTGCGCAATCTCAACTGCACAGCATTTTGTATGTCTTGAGACTGAGTCCCACATTTTCATTGCCTCTAATATTCAGAAGTCCACACTGCAGGATGGACACCTATGCTATATCTAACAGGGAAACTCACAAGTTATGTAGATCTCAGCAAATGTGATGGACATAAAACAAAGAAAAGGAAGTGTGGCTACAATAAAGACTGGAATCCTGGCTCCAGGAGTAGTCAGCTCTCAGAGATTGGGCCACTAGTTCATGTTATTTATGTAGAAATGAAGTTAGAAATGCAAATACTTGTTTTTGTCAAACTAAATGCCAAATCTCTAACCTAAATAATTCGTTTTTCCCTGGACAGACCAACAATTTTAGATTAGCAAAATGTCCTAAACTGTCCAAGTCCACGTTTAGTTTGTCAGACTGTATAAAAGATATACAGACTGTTTATATACAGACATCGACTTGGATCTGGTTACCTTAGCAGGGAGGACACATTGTGTACAATTTCCACTCTATTTAAAACCTCCAGTGAGAAATTCAAAAACTTACAGACAGGAAACCTGCTGAGAGCAGGTTTAAATAAACAGCTGTGTTTCGACCTTTCTGCATCTGCGTAAGTTAGTAAAAAAAAATACCTAGGAATTAAAGTTGCTGTGACCTCTAATAATGCTAATTAAAAATATTCTACTCTACCATTTAGTTTAATTTTACATAGAAATCACACACTTGGCTTAGAAAACACGCTGCACTGTCGCTGAAAAGAAAGGACATGCACATTTGTTTGCCAGATGTTTTCATCTGTGTGGCTGATTAGAGCTCCTCAGGTTGCACAAGGCTCTGGTGAGATTTTAAGGATATTTCTTACAGCAATTTATTGAAACATGTACATTCATAAGTGGAAATAAAGACACTGTGTAATTCTCTCTTGAAAGTCAGTGTTTAGTATGACCATTTTCATTCTTCAGCCTGAGTTCTCTGTGGCAAGCGTTCTTGTAATTTTGTAATTCTGTAGTCTTCAGGAATAGTTCTCCAGGCAGACAGTGTTTCATTTTGTGTTTTTCTATCCAGGTATGCTGTTACTGCATCGGCTGTGTTTGGGGTTAGACTCGTTGATGAAAAATGGGACCTCTTACCAATCAGATGTTATTCCATGTTGAATCAAAATCTGTCAGTACTTTTCTTTATTCATAATTTCAGGAATTTTGCCACTGACTGAAATACAGCTGTACTTGCTTATGATTGCCAAACATCAAAAATAGCTATGGCACTTCTGTTTTCAAAATAAAACTAAGATCCCTGTTTTTTTGCTGATTCAACTAAAGAAATGGGAAAAACATTATGTGTTTTTGCAACAGTCTGCTAATAAAAGGTGACCAGTAAATTTTAAAACAGGTTCTTTGCTGAATTGTTTTGAGTTTGCTGAGTTCTTTGGTGTTGACACAACACTGGTCTTGTCCCTTGAGGGAGGTGTCTTGTTTATGCTAAAGGCAAGTGTTACGTGGGGTGGCAAAAAAAGTGCAACACTGGAATAAAAATGAAAGAGCTATTGCTAAAAATTAACAAACAACAACAAAATGCAAAGAATTGAGGGGTGGCTCAAGATTTTCTCACAAAACTGCGTCTTGTGCACTTGTTAAAACGTTTAAGGTCCTTTGGATTTTCATAATAATCAGCTTCATAGTACCTATTAAGTATCTTTACAGTAAGAAAGTAAATGGCTTGTCTTGTTTTACCCACTTGATATCCACTGTGTTGTCAGACTTTGTGTCAAACGCTTGAAAAGCGCCTTTGAGCTTCTTGAGGACCTTGGTGTTAAGCACGGTGGCCTCTGGCAGACAAAATTAAGAAAACATAGAGAAGCATTAGCTTAGCTGGCTTAGTTCTGGAGAAAATAATGACAATATTTTCATCAAAGATCAGCCACTATGACGGGTCACCACAGAGTTTCAGCTAGACTGAAACTTTCACTGTGGTCTCAATATTTTCAATTTGTAAACAAACTGAAAATGAAAGTTACTATTACCAACCTGCACTTTTGCTGTTCTCCGCCATGTTTGTCCGGTCGCCTTTCTGTTGCCCAGCAACCGTATGGCAGGGCACCTATTCAACGCCTCTGACGTTTGCCATCTTTTTGTCGCCAGAAACCCTTCATTGTCGAATTACACAGAGCTACTAATAACACAATATTAATTAGTTAATTTATTTTTTTCCGTCTTGCTGAAGAAGTCGTTAAAAAAAGCCTTCCAACAACGTGACCCCGTCAGAAGTTCCTGATATAATGAAGCCACGTAAATGTATTTTCATACTATAACGGTTTTTTCCCAAGGATTTTGTTACTATTCTACGAATTAATCTATAAGTATCACATTTAAACATAAGACAGACTGAAAACAAACAAAGAGAGCAGAGAAATACTTGTTTCTTATTTATTTTCTTCCGCCGTATAAATGCATAAAATGGTTTTTAAAAAATTAACAAAAAAAACACTTCTTTTTTTTTAAAATTAACAAATAGTACACTCTTTCACACTAAAAACATTTCAAGTATGTAGATAATGATAGCATTTTACATTACTTTTCATTTTATTTCAATGGGGCCACCATAAAGATTATTTTCTTTCATACTCCTTGTCTAGTGAATTCAATATGTACTCATTTTTCTTGCTGATATAATATTAAGGAGAGCGAATTTTCATTTCAGCTGAACTAACTGTGAATCTGAAACATTAAAAAAAACCAAGCTAAAAGTGCAGCAAGTCCACCATCCACATGTACGTGAATCCACAGTGCCTACTGACATCTGGGGAGGAGGAAACATCCAAGTAACATCCAGTCAAATGGTGCAGTGACTCATAAACTGGTGGTATAAAGCAAACAAATGCATAAAATAATCATGGCAGAAAATGGTAAATAAATGGTAAATAAATTCAATTAAAGTAATAACACATTTTCCAACTTAGAAAAAATGCATTAAAAGGTCTCTTTTAATCATGGCTTCAGTTTTATTGTTGCAACTAATATTACATTCTGCCTTTAACCCCTTAAAAGCTCTGGGAATCATTGAGCATCCCAATACAGTGGCAGGAATATTTTGACCAGAAAGACCTTTTGACCACCCATCTACATGTTTAACAGTCCAGTGAATTGTGCATTAGCAGAAACTCAGAACTCAGATCCAGAAGGGGACCATGCTGATTAAGAAGCTCTCCCATACAGTACATAAGAGACTGAGGCCTAGATGACAGTGGTGTTTTCTCCAGTGTGTTTATGTGTGTGTGTTTTATATCTCTGGTTGGCCCTGATGTACAGGAATATTGTGGTCCTGCCCCAGATCTTCTATTGTGACTTCTGGGATTTGATGTCTCTCATATTCATCCATTTGCTTTATGGGTTCAACTTCCTTTCCTTGTACGTCCTCTTGAAGCTGAATCTCTTCATGAATCTGTTCCTCTCTCTGCTCCACTGCTCCGGCACTGTCCACGTTAGCAATAGCGTTTGATAGCTGTTCCTCCACTACTGCTTCCTGCTCCTGCTGAGGTGCATTGTTGTTGCTTGGGTCCTTTAAGGTAGAAAGTTATGATGAGGTGTTGTTTTTGCAGCCAAATATAATGAAGGTGTGAATAAAACGATATAAAGCTTTAACAGTATTAACAGTACTTCCAATACATTTGCAGTACCTGTGTGTGGGTGATTGAAGGGGAGAGCAGTTCAGATAGAGCCAGCAGACCATCCTGGTTTAGATCCTGAGTCTGTAGTAAGAAATCTACCATAGAAACCACCTGAAAGCAACATGCAAACATACACAAATATCGCCGACTAAATGAAAAAGGCCAACACCTTGTCAGTTCAAATACACACACACATAGAATCGCTCCTGCTAACCTGCTCACTGGCCTCTGCTCCAGGTATATGATGGGAGTTAAAATCTGAGAGGAGCTTCATCATCTCCAAGCCATCTAAGAACCCACTGCGATCATAATCATAAAGGCCAAACAGGAAGAATACCTCTGGAACATAGCACAGCACAATTCACAATTATACAATCAAATAAAAAGACTTTATTAGATTCTGACTAATAAAGGCTACATTATTTGGCAATGGTGATCCTAGTCAGAACCCATCAGTGTAATATCTACTGGTAAGAGGCACTGTTTACCTTGCTCCCAGGTGGTGATTTCTGGTCCTCCTTGTCCTCCATTCTTCAGGCTTGATTGAATGTAACTCTGTCTCAAACTGTGGTACACGCAACACAAAGCACAGTTTATAAAAAATGTTACAAAGCAGATTGGTAGTGCAACTGCCATGTGCTACAGACTCTTTCCACCCTTGTGCCATCTGGTAGAGGGTATAACACTCAAGCACCCTGTGCCAGACTCTTCAAGCTCCTAAACCCCATGCTCCCGTCTCCAAAAACTTGGACTTCACTATTTCAGTTCAGATGCACATAGACTTCTGCTCACAGAGCCTGTTTTAGCTCTTTAAATCATTTATAAGATGTTTAAAAGAAGTTAAAGATCCCCTTCAATCATGTTCAGTGGTGTACAAAACATCTTGTGTCTCATGTTGTGAGAAGAGGTTAGAAGAGAAATCAATACTTCTATTAACTGCTTTAGATGGCAGCTGATCGCAGGTGACACAAGGTGAGATGCAGGGTACACCCTGGATATAAACAGACAGATAACCATAAACTTGCACAGTTACAGGACTGACAGAGCGTGAAGTCATTAAAAGGTGGGGAGCACCAAAAAAAAAAGAATAAGAAAAAGGAAATGAAGGAAATTAAACAATGAGTTTCCTGACATCACTGTACACACTTTTATTAAACTTCAATTCAGCTCCGGTTCTTTTTTATTGTTAATGACTGATGAAAAATTCTGCAATGTGATTTTTTTTTCAATCAATAAGAATAAACTAATTAACCTAAAATTCATGTTGCTGGACTGTGGAAGGAATTTGGGGCCAAACATATGATTTTCTTGCTGTGAAACAACAGATGTAGCCACTGCGCTACCGTGTTGCTCGGCAATGTTATTATTGACACATATATATATTTTTAAAATATATTCACCTTGCTGGAAAGAATATGAAAAATTCATCCATAGAAGTCCAGTAGCACTGTTTTGTTAAATCAAGGCTTTGAGCCATTATATTACACTGGTTTAAGCTTCTATTACTTTTAAAATGGTTGTGAAGTGAGAAACGTTCATTGGCACATGCCTTAAACTCATATTTTAGGTACATGTGCTGTGTACTTGTATATGTAATCTTAAGTAAAGCAGATGGCAGATGTGTACTTGTAAATGTTTTCCTATATTTGTAAATAGACTCTTGACAAATAGTGAACAGGTATTAAACTGGTTACACACGCTTAATATAATAATAGAAACTTCTTTACATTCTTAACACATAACACGTCGTAGCAGTGGTTCTACCTTTCATAATCTTACATGAACTAGATGGTAACAATGACAAAATTCAGGCCAAAGGTGTTTTCTTTAGAGCACAACTGAGGTGCCTTCAACACAGCTGCTTCAATCAAAATCTGTCACAGATCTTCATCAGCTATGAGTCATGAGCTTTACATGACACTTAAAAGGGTATTAAGGCAAGATCTGGTGGTAAGAACTGAGACTACTCTCGGGGCATCATTTGTTTTAACATCTTAAACTTCATGGACTCCATCACATACCATAAATGAAGCAATGTTGCAACAGTGAGAGGTTCTAAATGCTTGAATAATCCTTTTACAAATGTTGATTCAGCACAAAGGCCTGCTTTAAGCCAACATGTATTATTTATTAAGGGTGGTGTAAATTCCAACTGCTATTCCATACAGCTAACAAGCATTTATCTGGTCTTTCATGCAATACCCTTAAGATGAAAGTATGATAGTGTGTACACATTATCTTAATCTTACCAACAAATGGAAAGAAGCTGCATCTGTCGTGTGGTTATATTTCTTCTTTTGTTCTCTGAACAATTTATTACAGGCAAGTTCAAACTATTCCAGTACAGTAGCAGCTATGTGTGGTGAGATAATATTTGCAGTATGGTGAGGAGATCCCCATAAAGGAAATTAATGCAGCATAAATGAGCTCTTAGGTACATGTAATCTTATCATTTTATAGTACAGGCCACATCATTAGCGCGACGGAGGAGCCAAAGTCCACAGCCAAGTCAGAAAGCTGCTGTTGAGTGAAATGATTTCAGATGTTCAATAACAGCAGACTGTACATGTGCCACTCACCTGCGTTCCTCCTCTCCAGAGCCAAAGGGATTGGGTAGTGCTGCAGAAGGGGGATGGGCAGCTACTGATTCCTCCCTGTGGAATAAATAAGCAAACAAATCATTCAAAGAGCTTCTTCCTGCATCACTGCTTTTGTTTTTGGTTTAATTTCTTTATTTTGTTCTGCTAAACAGCAACAGAGTGTATCTGCTAGCCTCATATATAACATTTATATCCAATGGGAATAAGGAATAATCAATTATAGATCAAGCAGCATATTTATGAAAGCCTGAGAATATTTATGCCTTTATATGAATGAAAAAAAAGAGAAAGTGAAACTTGATGAGAGAAGGGGCGTTACCTCTGTGTTCCTGGAAGACCTGGTGCAGCCAGGCACAGGTGTACCAGCAGGGTCAGAGACAGAACACGCGGAACCAGCTGGTCCAGGTGACACTCCAAGAGCACACCTAAAATTAAACAGCTATGTTACTACCTTTGTACAAGCTCCTCCCAAACCATTTCATCACTGATTTTAATTCATATAAATAAGAATGGTTGAGTTTTTACAGTGCACAGAATTACTAATTCTGATTGTGTTAATGAAACTAGAGGAAACTTTTATGGGCATTGCAGTGGTCACACAATGCAGCAATTGCTGCCTTACAGAAAAAAACCCCCAAAACAAACCTCACAAAAACTAGTCCCTTCAGTAATATTGCAGAGCTGCAGTCATACAGCTTTCACTCGTCACATAGATGAGAAACTTCCTGGTCCATTATGGAAAAATCATTTGAAATCTTTCTATCTATTTATAGCTCATTGCAGCCCTTTCATGCTGTCTCCATGAATCATTTCTCTGTGACTCGCCAGACCTTTTAGACCAGCAAACATTAGATTTTTGAACTAAAATTCGTTGCTGTGAGCTGAATGGCCTGTTTAAGAGATCCCAGAGATGCGCAGACTAATAACCGGCAGCTTCCTCCTCCTGTGGAGCAGCAGCGATGCTAGTCTGGCACAGCACGCGAGACTACACCATCAACTCATTGTTACTACCTGATCACACAGCCTCCTTTAAAGGCACCTTGACATCACAGTCTTATATTAA